TATCAACAAAACAATGGTTCCTTCAGAATAAAAGCTGAACTCGCTGACCCAAGGAGGGTCCACTTTTTGACGCTGTGAAACACCTGTCGCTGTTTACCTGGAGACTATCCAAAGACTGGTTTGTCGTGCTGTGATGCCGTTTCATCGGCTCCGGTACTAGAGGAGGGTCCGTGGACCTGGCCTTCGGATCTGTACGGAGGTCTCACTGCAGGGTATGTGGATGCGACATAAATGGCGTCTCGTGTTTATGACTGCGAGTCTCAAACGTTGATCAGTTAGGAGCAAAACATCATTTTCCACTCCGACTCGCTTCTCCGGACACAGAGGTTCTGAACTTGACATCGTTCACACACACTCCACCTCACACTTCTTTCCAACAAACATCCATCATTAGAGAGTTAGTCTTCTTAAATTGTTTTAAATTATTTAGTAATAAATGTTCTTAAACGTTTGACAGTCTCTCTCTCTTCTCTTGTCTCTCAGTACATGCAAAGTGTTTTTTAAATTTCCTGTAATAAAAAGAACCAACCTTCTGATTTAAATAACCCAGTGTCCATTAGATGGGGTTCATACTCGATATGGATCTTTAATGTCTATGGTCATTAATTAAATTGTAATTCAATTCCATTACACCGACATGCAGAGTAAGGAGTCTGAACGTTGCAGGGAGAACAACTCCAGCATACAGCATGGTCATGCAGTAGCCCAAGTGCCACCTAGTGGCTGGTTGCAGTACATATTTTCAGTCCCGCCCCTCCGTGGATATGAATGGAAGATTTTCCTGACCTAAGTATCTGCCAGCTGTTGACTCCTGTGCATTCATTTCCATTTTAATTTCTCAAAGAGTTATTGAATAATAATTATGAATTGAGTTTTCAGTGTTTATCCAAAATCTACATACATTTATTTGCAGAAAGCTACTAGCCTTTCATGTGTTACATTTAAATGTTGTGGTTAGAATTAGCCTCTTCACTGTGATGTCACATTAAAATATGCAAAAGAAAGAAGAGTGGGTGAGGTGTTTGCATCCCGCCACCCCCGGTGGTCAAATCTTTTAAAAAGCGATGATTTTGGTTAGACGTGAGCGTGCAGACACCCGAGCACATGCCCTGCAGTGCACCTCTGCCTCAGCACCAGGAGAAGCTGCTGTCATCAGACTGATTCCTGCAACAGGAAACGCTTCGCTCAGTCAGTTAAGTTCCAGATAAGTAAAAAGTTTAGTTTTTTTTAAGTTTAGTCCTTCATTTAAGCTAAATACCACATCTTCAAAGAAAATGCCACTTTGATGTCATTATCTGGAGCTTTCGGTGTTTTCATAAATATCCCGGGTGGGGTGGGGGATAATCCCTTTAAAAATCATCATTTCTAAAGGTTGCATAACATGTTTGTGAAATAGCTCATTTTAATTTTTTATCCTCTGATGTACGAAGGGGGAAAATCCTTGAACTACATGCATGTAAAATATTTACATATAAAAAAACACAAACATGTAAATACTGAGCAGAAAATGATTTCAGTGGTTGAATATATAGATTTGCTAAATGCAAAATAAAATATGAGTATGAAGTGATTCACATGTTCACAGAAGTGAACTCGACTTAAGTGCATCATTAGTTTGCAGCGAATCAAGGACAGCTCAGTAAGAGAGCAGCGACCTAAAAAAGGTCCTCTGTGCACCCGAGTGCTCTGATGTCTTCAAAATGAACAAAACCTTTCATCACGTTAAAACTAGGGATGGACAATATATCGGCATCAATATCGGTGTTGGTCGATGTTAGTCATCTTTTAACATATCGGTATTGGTTTGATAAATAAAACCGGGCCGATATTAACTCATTCACTGCCACTGGAAAAAGTCGTCATTTGCATGTTTCTACTGTGTGGGCGTCGGACGAGCCCCCGCACTGTGAGAACAAACACCCCAGCTCTAAAGCCGATCTTCATCCGCATACGTCACACGTCACGTGATCAGGAAGCAGAACATCCATGTGTTAGGAGATCGTTTTGGGCCGCTGCTGTAAAAAAAAAGTGAGGTGCGAACTGGAAAAGCTTCTGCCGATCACAATTCAACAACGGATTATGAAAGAACGGATAACGCTCGAAACGCGCGGATTCTTCCTGATGTAAGAGGTGAGTCTCCTCTTTGTTTGGATTGTTTTGGCGCCGACATCATCCTAGCGCGCAACATTCTGTGACTCTTAAAAAACCAGTAAAAACGGTGAGAAATGCTGGCAGCGAATGAGTTAACAACCGATATTTTTTCCATCTGGTCTCCATTAGTTTGCCTGTTTCAGAAGGTGAGGGGGGTGATGTGTAATTGTTCAGTCATGTGACAGTGAATGAAATCATCTCAGAACCATAAATGTGTGTGGTGTGTGGTGTGTGTACGTAATAACGTAAATTCAGTTTTGATCATTTTCATTTTATACAAAATCTGTTGATTTTCGAAGCATTAATGTGAGTTTATCGGTATCTGCAAATATCGGTTATCGGCCATAACAGTGATCTTTATATCGGATATCGGTGTCGGCCCAAAAATTTCCTATCGGTGCATCACTAATCAAAACTTTAATTTTCATAGGTATTATTGGAAGAAAAAAGTCTTTTTTCTTTTTATGCCTGTTTGTTGTTGTGACCGGGACGAGAGTCCGAGGCCAAAGGTGGGATACTCAGAGATGCATGGACAGGTCGGAGATTGGTCCACATCAACCAGGACGTTGATCCCGTAGGTTGTAGTAAAGAAGGTGCTGAATCAAGGACTCTCAGGGCATCACTCCATCTGCAAACCAACCCTACAAGCGACTGTAACGAGCTCCTTCTACAAACAGAATCTGTATATTTATAAAATATGAGGCGGAAACCATTAACAAATCTCTCTTCTCCTCCAAAGAACATTTTACATCCAAGAAGTTTTCCTCTAACTGAAGATATTTGATGTTGCTCATGTGTGCTAAAATGCAAAAATGAAACCACTGTCAATAAAAATCAGCAGAATAACATTTAATGGTCCAGCAATAGGAAACTGGATTCATGTGGTCTGAAAATGATCCAGAAGTCATCTCTTGGGAAACGAAGCCAACAATCTTATGACGTAAATCTGAAAACGGGTTGCGTGCGACACCTCCTTTTTTCCTCAAAGAAATCTCCCTCCAGCACTCCAAAGAAGCTGCCTTTTTATCTTCCACCTTGTGGAAAACCGACTTTATGCCTCTGGGGAACCTGACAGCATTGTGGAGCCATTCCTTTTCAGTCAGGCGTTCTGCGGGCCAGCTGACTGACAGAGGAGGGCAGCATTCATTAATCACAGACTGAGAAGGAGGGGAATTATACTCATCGCTGCAGCAGGACCATGGTTTTGAGTCATGCTTCTGAGAGGAACCAACAGGCTGCAGCAGGGTGGTTTATGTTAGCTTCCGTTCCGCTAATGGTGCGTTCGCTTTCTCCTCGGAACTCCGAATTTCCGACTAGAAACACATGAACGCGCTCTAAAGTTTGGCTTCACTTTACTAAATGCGACGGGTGATTGGTGAAGATGAAACCAGCGACAACGATCTAAGGGTGGGGCATCATCGTTTTAATCTGCTCCAGCAGTTAAATAAACTGTTTAAGATAACGTTAGCTTAATATGTTAGCTTCCATTGCCACTATTGTTATCAGCTAACGGTGCGTTCGCTTTCTCCTCGGAAATTCTAACTTCCCAGTAGGAAAAATCAAAGAAAAAGGACGGCAAAAGGAATGAAGATACACAGTAAATTAAGTTCACAGTAAAGATGTTTGCTTCAGTTTAATTATCAGGTTATAAAACTACAAGGACGATGTTAAAATACAAACAGTTGTATGTTATTTATCATGATATTTATCAAGTATGGTTATATATTGAGAAAAATATATATTTAATTATATAAGAGAATTAAAATATTAAACACTCAAAAGTATCTAAAATTGGTACCGTTAAGTACCGGTATCGATTCCTAGGTACCGGGAATTTGTACCGAATCGATTCAAATGTCAAAGGTACCCATCCCTACCACCTACCCACTAAATGTGAAATTTTCACATTAAACATCTGCAGCTGAATGATGGGAGCCTCTACATTACAGCCCCAAGACAAAACTTAGCGGTCATGCTGCGATTCCCACGTGCTATCTGGTTCTAATCAGAACCCGGCGGCAGCTTTCTGAGCATTATTCCCCAGCAGCACTCCGCTTTAATCACATCTGAGCGGCTTCCACCTGGAGACCCTTCAGCACCTGAAACGCCTGCAGGGGCTTCTTCCACATTTAACAGCTAATTTAGTTTATTTCAGCGCTCCTGAGTTCTGACGTTGTCCCTCCTGTTGTTGGTGCTTGTCTTACAAAAGCACCAAAACAGCTGGTTCTCTTCATCACTCCTTAATGAGCCGATGAGAAGTTTCTTATTTAATGAGGGGATGTTTGCACAGCTAAACTCAGACAAATTGAAAACAAGAGAGAAACGAGTGAGTAAAACGGCTTGTTCCATCATGAGTGGAATAATTAATATTTCAGTGATTTGACAAGATTATGCTTTTCTGAAGTAAAGAGAAAGTTTCTGAACAAGTTCAGGACTGTTCAGCCGAAACGGGTAAAGGTTCTGCCCCATAAATCCACCACAAAACTCAGCAAAAGCATGTCTCGCCTAAACTGTCAGAGAAATCTAATCTGAGATCAGACGCTGTAATGAAAACTGCCAGCTAACATTAGCGCTGCAAACACAAGAGCCTGCAAACTCGTGGCGTGAAGGATGGAGGAAAACCCGGAGCTTGACAGGCTCGCCGTGCGTGGCTGGAATAGGAACACCTCGATAGGACAAAGCACTGGGAGTTATGTAGGTGTGTGTTCAAAGTTAACGGCTCAGATGGCTTTTTAGTGAAGAGCAGCTGAATAAAACAACACCGCAAAGTGGGGTTCCACACACACACACACACACACACACACACACACACACACACACACACACACACACACACACACACCTCTTACCTTTCTCCACTGTGGTCACTCCCATCGACGGCTGACTTAAACAGGCTTTTGTCTCCCATTTGCCCTCATCGGGATGGTACACTTCCACCGAGGCCAGAGGGCTCTGCTGCTGATTCATGCCCCCGAGCACCATCACCAGACCCCCCAGCGCCACAGCTGAGGCCCCCGCCCGCGCCGTGGGCAGCGGCGGCAGCTGGCTCCACATCTGGCTCTCAACATCCAGGACCTCCACGCTGTCCAGGGGCGTGCCAGTTTCGCTGCAGCCCCCCAGCACGTACAGCAGGCCTTCGTGGTAGACGGGGGTGCAGTAGACTCGGCGATGCGACATGGAGGGGAACTGCTCCCAGTGCAGAGACTTGACAGGACTCACCGCCATCTCCTGTACAGGCATGTCTCCAGGACCAAGAGGAGGGGGTGCACCATCACACACTGTACAGCGCAGGAGGAGGGAGGGAGCACGGAAGCGGAGCGGGGGTGGAGGCACGGGGTCACGGCAAGATGGAACAAAGCAGAAAAGGAGAAACAAGCCGGCGCTCAAGCTTGTTTCTGTCTGTCTGAGTGACCGGCTGAACTCCTGCGTCCACAGAGACGGGGGATGGAGAGGACCGGTGGGGGGGTAGTAGTGACAAGAGTGAGCAGAATAAGAAAAGACGGGGAACGAGAATCCCTCACTTCTCAACCAGATGTCACGACTTCCTCTATTCCAATATTTTATTCATCCATCTGTTAGAGTTTTGGAAGAGGGAAACCATCTGCCCTCCTATCACCTCTGCTCCTTCTGCCTCAGTCACTGCGGCCTCTGCAAGTGCTTTGGGTGAAATGTACTTCTCATGTACCGTGTTCAGCGCTTTGGGCTTCCCGACAGGGTTGTGGAAGGCGCTTTATAAATAAAGCTTTGATTGATTTGATTGAAATTGTAACTTTTATATATTACTAGTGGAAAAACAAGGAGTTTCTAAAGTCTAAACCGTTAAAATCCCGAAAATCTTCAGAGGACCAGGTAGCAGAACAATGGCTCTGGATAAGAAACAGGAAAACGACTGTCACTATTGCCTCAATAATCCCGGAGAAAGTCTTTAAGGTGGTGAGCTTTATCGCTCTAAACAGCAAGTTCTCTGTCGCAGCTCTGCAGTTTTACTTCTACCTGCTGTGGTGAAGAAGAAAAACGTCCTTCATAGCTGAACAAAAACGAAAGAAAAGCTCCACAAGAGCTAAAAAACCGCAAGGCTTCTTGGCTTTTCGGGAAAGTCTCTTCCTTCCCTTCAACTAAATGGGAATTCTGTTGCTGTGGAGCACCTGTGAACGTTGAGCCTTCATGGTAGCTTCAGACAGCCGAAGGCTTCCTTGTTGACAGCCAACCTGTAAGAAATGACAAAAAAAAAAGCATTAAATAAAAAAATAGGTTCCACTTTTCCCATGTTCTCCTTTAATCCGAGCAAACCTTTCCTGTCATGTAGGATTAAGACTTCATTTGAGAAACGTGACTTGTCAGGAAAAATGACCGTTTATGGTTTCACACACATTCCCAGTGGGTTTGGGGTTGTTACATGCGTTGGAAGAATAACAAGCCCATAATTGGTTGGTTTCTCTAAACAGGGTGAACACACAGTTCTACGTCTAACCTCTCCGATGTTTAACCATTTTTTTATTCCGTTGCATTTGGTAAACTCAATGGTAGCTGTTCTCTTGCATTCATTTCCCCTTCTTGTGTTGTTTTGGTTCTAAACAGGCATCTCTTTGTCCCAGATCCTGCTGATCTGCTGGTTCTGGCCTCACCAGCTCACTAGGACTTCAGAAGCAGCAGATTTTAATGTTTCTTTTCTTTTTCTGCAGTCATCACTCAACAAAACCAAATTGAGCTACTAATGAGGTTCTGGTTTCTCTGGAATGCAGTGGTGCCCAATCCGGGTCCATGAGGGACACCACACATGCGTGAGATCAACGCGCCTGATTCCATGGACGATAAACTTCCTCCGCACGTTCTGGATTTCAGTAAAGGTCGGTTTATCGTTCATTGGTTTTAATCGGGTGTCTCCTGAAGGTAAACAAGCAGGACAGTGACCCAAGAATGGGGTTAAACAACTATTCTAATGGTCTGGACCAGTAAACGATGCACATTTGTATAGTGCCTTTCTGAGTCGGAGGACTCAACAGTGCTTTACACTATAGTGAATCATTCATCCATTCACACACACTGGTGGTGATGAGCTGCATCATTGCTGCAGCTGCCCAGAGGCACACCGACTGAAATGAGGCTGCCAAGCACAGGCGCCGCCGGTCCCTCCGCCCACCACCACCACCAAGCAAGCAGGGTCAAGTGTCTCACCCAAGGACGCAGCAATTGACATGACTGAGTGAGCCTGGATTCGAACCTGCAACCCACTAATTATAGGGTGAACTCCTAACCCCTCAACCACCATCACCCTTGGTAACCAATCACAAATCCCTGAGGACCACAATCCTGCATGGTTTACACGTTTATCTGCTCCTACATGATGACATGGATTAGTGGGTGATTAATCAGCTTCTTGAGAGCTGAAAAGTCCATGTTATGAGGGCTGTGTTCCATCTAGTTTTGCTCATTAGCTGCTTTACAGCGGCAAAAGTGGAACGCAGCAACTAAAACATGAAAGTAATCATCACACATGGGGAGCGGTGAGCTGCAGCAGTGGCTGCACTTAGGAGTTATTTGGTTTAAAGTCTTTGGTGTGACCCGACCAGGATTTGAACCTCCGATCTTCCAGTCTCAGGCAGACACTAGGCCACTGAGCTGGTCAACCTTCTTTTGAAGAATTGTTTTCATGCCGTCCATCTGCACAAATAATAGATAGAAACGATCCGTAGGTAAATCTTTCTCTGGTTTTGTGAAATTCCACTCATTTCCTTCTCCCAGTAGACGTTTATTTCCCTCCAATGCTCTGAGGAACACACGCAGCGTATGAAACGGTTGTTTCTTCAGCCCAGTAAGAGGCGACAAGAACATTAACAACTGCAGTTTTATTATTTTTGTCTAGACGACAGAAACTATAGACCAATACTCCCAGGAGTGTGAATTCAAGCTTCCAGCCTCCTCACACACACACACACACACACACGCACGCACGCACACACACACATACACACACACACAAAAGGTATTTTTGTGCTTTTTTTGGAGATCCTGCCAGCTTCGGAGTCTCTAAGGGAGAAACTTTGGTCAGTGAATGTGTGTTAATGAAAACAAATGTGCCCAGTCTTGCAGTGAAAATCTGCGTGCCCGCTCATGTGTTACAGTACGTTAACATCACTGCAGAACCGAGCCGCAGCTTCACAATGCAACGACTGCGGATTCGTTTCACGGAGAGCTGAGTGCTGCTGCAGATTAAAGCCTTTTGTTAGAGGACGCTGGCCGGGTTCTGGTTCAGCGCTGGGTGGAAAGTTTTAGGCACCAAACTGTAAATGCTAATAAAAAACATCACGACTGGATCTAAGAGGCGTCTTCATGATGTTAAAGGGAAACCGATTTATGAAGCTTTAATAATCAGAATCACATTTGCTCCGTTGACACGATGCCAGTGCCGATGCGGTGTTTGTGTGCGAGTCGGTGAGTTGCACTGACACAGCGGGAGGTGAGGACACAAGGATTGACAGAAAAAGCTCCGCCGTTTAGGGTTTAGGTGGGAGAGGAAGATTGACGCAAACTAATACAGCTCACCGTTTCTCCTATGCTGCCCTCATGTTCCTGCACACACAGGCTAATAAAACTGCAGCTTTCTAATTACTAATGGCCTCTGGATCACGGCCTTTATGCTCCGAGTCATGTGGACTCTGAACTCTGAGCAAAGAGAAGGTTGGAAGAGCTGGAACATCTACAGTCATGGCCAAATGTTTGGGAATTGGAACAGTTGCTGCTTTTATAATAGAAATTTGCATTAACTCCAGAATGTTGTGAAGAGTCATCAGGTGAATTGCATATTGTGGCTTCTAAGATTACAACTAAATCAACAATTTATAGGATCATCAAGAACTTCGAAGAAAGAGGTCAGATTCTGAAAGGACTGCTGAGGACCGGGGCAAAGCCAGATTCTCCGATGACGTCCCTTTCCGATTGTTTGGGGCATCTGGAAAAAGGCTTGTCCGGAGAAGAAAAGTTGAGCGCTACCATCAGTCCTGTGTCATACAGACAGTAAAGGATCCATTCATGGTTTGCTTCTCATTCAAGGGAGTGGGTTCACTCACAATTTTGCCCAAAAACACAGCCATGAATAAAGAATGGTACCAAAACACCCTCCGACAGCAACTTCAACAACACTTTGGTTTAGAACAATGCATTTTGCAGCACGACGGAGCACCGTGCTATAAGTCAAAAGTGATAACTCAGTGGCGCGGGGACCAAAACGTTGAACAATTGGGTCAGTGACCTGGAAACTCCCCAGATCTTAATCCCATGGAGGACTTGTGGTCAATCTGTCACAGAGTGGTGATGTTGCACTAATGTTTTATTTTATATTTGCATGTTTTACTTGTTATTCTGATGTGCACATTTTTATTGGTTGTGTTTTTGCTTATTCTTATGTGCATGTTTTTATTGTGTTTTTAGTTGTGGTGCAACATTGTGTGTTAATCACCCCAATCACCTTCACCTGCGGCAGAGTGTTGCCTGGACTGCCAATTAATGGACAGACGCAGGCAGGACAGTTTTAAAAGGGTGGAACGCGTGGACACAGGAGACTGAGAGAGAGAGCCAGGAGGGCAGACGGGACACGCTAAGGGGCAGAGACGCACCCTGGGACGGCGTCCTGCCTGGACCACATGTGCCTGGACCCCCCAGCTGGAACAGAGGAGCACCCGGAGTACGGTCCCGGATGAGGGACGGTGGCTGAGTGTGGAGGAGCGTGGGTGTCCCTCCCTCCACACATGAGCGGCGCGCGTACGGGTGCCGCTGGGTCCGGTTGGAGTCTTGGACCGAGGAGGGGGTTCACCGGCAGCGCGGACAGCGAGCAGCAGCGGAGAGCGAGATCCGCGGTGGATAAGCCAGGGCACGGAGCGCAACACGGCAGGCGGGCAGAGTTACTCTGCCCCTGTGCGTAAGTATTGGAGCAGTGCCTGGCTACACCTGGAGCTGCTATCTCTCTGTGTGTGGTCTGGTGCTTGGGGACTTTTGATTGCCGGAGTTTTTGTGTGCCACAGGGGCTGAGGAGGAGGATTGGATCCACGGGCCGTTCAGCCTGTGGTTCCCCGAGGACGACGCGAACCACAGGAGGGCGGGGTCGTGGAGGTTCCCCCTGGCGAGCTCATGCAGGGGCGTATTGGACTGCTTTGTCCTCTGGAGGCCCAGCAGACTTTATTGTGGAGAGCATCTTGGGCATAATCATCTGAGCTTTTAGAATAAATTCCCTTTTTTTTTTTAAATTTGCTTCTGTGGTTGCGCTGCTTGCCTTGGTTTTAGAATCTACATCTATTTTAATCTGTTAATTTTAGTGGCACGATCCATCCATTCCACCTGATACGTGTCACAAATCCTCAAGAGGCGGGTGGACAAACAAAAACCCACCAACTCCGACAAACTCCTAGAAGCGATTATGAAAGAATGGATTGCTATCAGTGAGGATTTGGCCCAGTCAAATTGCAGAGGTTCTGAAAAGAAGGGCCAACACTGAAAATACTGACTCTTTGCATAAATGTCATGTAATTGCTGATAAAAGCCTTTGAAACATACGAAGTGCTTGTACTCATATTTCATTGCATCACAGAAACACCTGAAACAAAGATCTAAAAGCAGTTCTGCAGCAAACTTTGTGAAAACTAATATTTGTGTCATTCTCTAAATTTTTGGCCATGACTGTACAGTTCCTGACAAAAGTCTTGTCGCCTGTGTATGTTGTAGAAACTCCTGCTATTAACCTGACTTTTAATTGATCAACTGGTGTTAGAAATAGCTTATATGAAAAGCTAATACCCTCCCAAATAATGTTAAATGTACTGAAAAATAATATTTTCACTGAAAAAAGATGTAACGTTTCATCAAGACAGACAGGTCAGAATCTGGCAAGACAAAAGTGTTGTCGCCTGTACAGAAAATGATCAACTTTACAGCAAATCCAAAAATATATCAGCTAATTAAGTAGTGGTGCTGTGAGATCCAAATTTTATATCTCGTATGACTTCGTGAGCTTTAAGAACAGCATCCATGCAGATTGGTAATGATTCATACAACTTATTGATGAAGTCATCAGGAACAGCAAAGAAAACAGTCTTGCATGCCTCCCAGAGTTCATCAGTATTCTTTGGTTTGGTCTTCCATGCTTCCTCTTTCATCCTACCCCACATGTGCTCAATGATGTTCATGTCTGGTGACTGGGCTGGCCAATCCTGGAGCA